CTCGCCGCGTGAAGCCGTGCGCGGGGCGCTGATGGCCGGACGCATCTTGGGGAGGACTTTAGCCACCGTGTCCCTCTCTGTGGCCTTGGCCTCTGTGACTGTCAAGTCCTCGGGCCTTTGCGGCATCCCGGAGTGCAGGTATCGCCCTCCCTCCTTGTGCTGGCTCCTCCCCAGGCCTTAGGTGCCGGTGGGAACCAGCTTGCCGGCCGGCGGCTGCTATAGGCTTTGCTTGCGGCTGGGGTTTTTCAAGTCGCATAGAGACACGCTTTCAAAAAGGCTCAGAATGTGCTTGTCTGCCAGCGGTTCTCAACCTGTGGGTCTCGACCCCTTTGGCCGTGGAACAACCCTTTCGCAGGGGTCGCCTAAGACCATCCTGCATGTCAGATATTTACATTACGATTCGTAACAGTAGCAACATTACAGTTATGAAGTAGCAACGAAAATGATTTTATGGTTGGGTCACAACATGAGGAACTGTATTTAAAGGGCCAGAAGGTTGAGAACCACTGTAAGCCCTTTGAGGTAAAGCTGGTGCCGTCCTTCCTAAGTCACCATCGTTTTTGTCCACAGAGCGTTTAAATAGCACTTGTTCGGGTGTGGTGTTGTCCTGTGCTATTTTCTTCTCGTTAATACTTAAAACATCATTCTTCAAATGAATACATGCACACGGTTTAAATGCGTGGCCCGTGTAATTGGTGTAAAATGAAAAGCGAACGTTGTCATTCTTCCTCTGAACCTCACTGTAGATGATGTTTGTATGATCTACCTCTTTCTTGACTTGTCAACTCTGGATAAATTTAGGGATTTCTTGTGCCTCACACTGCCCTCTGCTTTTATTTTCCTCTTTCCAGGTTTTTATTCTTCGAGTCCATTGTTAAGGAAACACACAGTGGCTACTGAATTATTCATTCAAACTTAAGACCTTGTGCATTCTGTTAGTCATCTCCATGGAATTGTAAATGTTGACAAGAACTTTTTCTTACGCTTAACTACTCTCGTTAGTGGAAACCTTTTCTTATTTTATGAACATAAAAACGTTTTGAAACTATAAAAATGATAAAAAATTACCTTCTTTCTCCTGAATTATCTGTTTGTTTTGGGTGTGTGGTTCTGTTACCATTTGGTTCTTTTTCCTTTTTTTTTCCCTCAAACATCTGGTGGACACTGGTTATCTACTTATATTTTGACACCGGTTATTTATCTATATTTTAATGAATATTTTAAATATGCGTTAAAATGTACATAATAAGCATTGTTTTCTCTAAATGGGAGGACTGATTGTCTATTGCCCCATGTACCAGGGTGCCTAGACTGGAAGGTTTCAGTGTGTGGGATCAGGTAGCAGGTGGACAGGCTGGGAAACTCCCTCCTGCCCTTTTCCCCTAGGGTTTACGCTAGTGGAGCAACTTATTTGCTGAGCATAGCTGCTTTAACTTTACTTCCTCAGTATGTTGTAGAAATAGTAAGCCCAGTTTCTATTGTGCTAACACCAGTCTATAATAATAAAAGCATAATATGCTAATTAGACCGGACAGCTGGATGTCATTCTGGACGGCCTTCCGGAGGAAGCCATGGCGGTGGGGGCCAGAGGCGGTTAGGGGTGATCAGACAGGCAGACAGTGATTAGGGGTGATCTAGCAGCAGGCAGGCAAGCGGTTAGGAGCCAGCAGTTCCAGATTGCGAGAGGGATGTCCGACTACCTGGCAGTTGAACATCCCCCAAGGGGTCCTGGATTGCGAGAGGGTGCAGGCCGGGCTGGGGGACCCCCCATGCGTGAATGTCGTGAACCGAGCCTCTAGTATTCACAATAAAAGACCTAGTTCTTAATTTTCTTTAACTTTTGGCGTTATCCTAATGTAACAGTTGCTGACTGTAAGGGAGGGAAGAGGACTGATTTTCATGGTTACTGTCCCACTGTCCACTTAGGACATTTGGACCCACTTATTTCAAACTTGAAACCTCTCAGGGTCCTCTTGTAGGAATGGCATCTTTTCCTCACCCTTTTGTTAATATTGTCAAATATAACTTGCTCTACTTTGGTTTGTAGGTCAGTATCATTCCACCTATTTGAAATCTTTCTGAAATTGGTTGAAATCTCATTCACTGGTGGTGTCCTAGTCTCTCTTCTTGCTGTGGATGTTGTTGCCTTTTATACATCTGTCTATCTCTTCAGTGGGATTTGGGGAGGGAAGGAATAAACATCTGTGTTCTCTGGAAGTCACTAATGCTGTTTTTGATAGATGCTAGTAGAGTAATGTGAAATTGGCAGTTATTCTTCATTTTTATAATGCTGGGAATGCTAGGTGAAGCAGAGTTTATCTAACACCTGTGACTGCTTACTGGCTTGGAAGAAAAAGCCAAAAGTTAAGCCAACAAGTATGTGTTGAGTATCAGGTATCTTATATTGCAAGGCATCCTGGAAGAGACATAAGAAATTTAGCATTTAGCATTTTACTGCCCTTTATTAATTTGGGTAAATTCAGAACGTCATCGTTTTGTAGTTGGTTTTTTAAAAAAAATATTTTTTATTGATTTCAAACAGGAAGTGAGGGGGAGAGAGAGAGAGAGAGAAACATCAATGATGAGAGAGAAACATCTATTGGCTGCCTCCTGCATGCCCTCTAGTGGGGTTTGAGCCTGCAACCGCAGATATGTGCCCTGAATGGGAATTGAACCATGACCTCCTGGTTCATAGGTTTACGCTCAACCACTGAACCACACTGGCTGGGCTGTAGTTGGTTTTTGTGGTTTGACTAGATACAGTGGTTCTCAACCCTCCTAATGCTGTGAACCGTTAATACAGTTCCTCATGTTGTGGTGACCCCCAACTTCATTGTTACAAATTAAACATAATTAAAGCAGTGATTAATCACAAAAACAATATGTAATTATATATGTGTTTTCCTATGGTCTTAGGCGACCCCTGTGAAAGGGTCGTTCAACCCCCAAAGGGGTCACGACCCACAGATTGAGAACCTCTGGACTAGAAAGTTGCAAATGCCTATTTTCTAGAAAAAAAAAGATAGTATATAAAGATGTGAGTGCTTTCAAATTTTCCATCAGGATTTATCAGCAATGTATGGAGAATGGTGTATATTTTATTCCTGTGACTACATATAAATATATATGTGAGCTAAAAATGAAGTTGAGCCCTAACTGGTTTGGTCTAGTGGATAGAGCCCTAAACAATAAAGTCCATTAAAAGAAAGGGGGGCGGGGCAGATAGTAACCTTGGCTGCTTGCTTCAATTCAGAGACAGATACATGGAAAATAAAGTATTGATCTTATTAAAAGAAAAGTTGAGAAGGCTGAGAAAGGATAGTGTTTCAAGAAAGAATGATTTGAGTATCATAGGATTAAAGGAGGTGTGGGGGCCCTATTGAGAGTATGCCAGATGTTCAAGGCCACTGTGAGCATGGGAATCGTAATCAGGGTGTCCAAGGAATAAACGCAGGTACAAGGATGCAGAAATCTATGCACTGTGTAAGCATGCCTTCTATAAGGGGATCAACAGGGCGGGTTTAGCAATTATGGCTGCTCTCAGTCTTGCCCTCAGAGGCTCTGCTTCTCAGTGTCCCAGTAATCGCTGCAAGCCCCACGGAGAGAAAGCTGCCCTAGGGTTCAGAGCGATGCCAGACAGTCCCGCTTCTCCCGTTTGAGTCTGGGTCCCTAGAGACTCGCCCGGACCTGGAGCTCAGAGCCGGAGACTCCCTCCCGATTGAAAACGACAACTGTGCCCTCAGCCGCCAGCCCGCTCCGCATGCACTCTGCACCTTAGTATCTCACTTCCGCACTGCGCCTCTGAGTCTCCGTATGTTTTTCTCTTCCTTCCTAGTTGTAGAACTTCCACTCAGCCAGCCTTCCTGTGGTTCTGGAGGATGTCTGTTCCGTCTTTTAGTTGTATTTTTGAAGTGGTTGTTCGAGGCAGCAAACTCCGGTGTTTACCTATGCCGCCATCTTGGTTTCTCCTTCACCTGGTTTCTGTAGTAAGTTTTAAATCAAGAAGTATGAGACCTTCAACTTCGTTTTTCTTTTTTCAATATTGTTTTGGTTATTTGGGGACCCTTGTTCCTAATCCCGGAGGAAAAGCTTTCAGTCTTTCATCAGTAAACCAAAAAACTGTGGGCATTTCATATATGGCCTTTATTATATTGAGATAATTTTCTTTTATTCCTATTTTGTTGAATGTATTTATCATGTAAGGACATTGTATTTTTGTCAAAGGCTTTTTCTGCCTCAATTGAGATGGTCATTTGTTGTTTTTTTCTTCATTCTGTTTAAATGGTGTATTACATTGATTGATTTTTGTATGTTAAAACATCTTCCACTCCAGAAGTAAATCCCATTTCCTCATGGTGTATAATCCTTTTAATGTGCTGTTGAATTTTGTTTGCTACTATTCTGTTGAGGATTTTTGCATTGATATTCATCAGGGATATTGGTCTATAGTTTTCTGGTAGTGTCTTTGTCTACTTTTGATAAGAAGGTAATAATTCTGGCCACATAGAATTTGGAAGTATTTTCTCCTCTTCAATATTCAGAAGAGTTTAAGGAGCATTGGTGTTAATTCTTCTTTAAATGTTTAATAGCATTCACCAGTGAAACTATGTGGTCCTAAGCTTTTGTTTGTTGGAAGTAAATAAATAATGTTTTTGTATTACCTTTTAAAATTATTTATATAGCCCCATTCAAATTTCACCACTTGTTCTACAATTTTATTTTCCTTTATGGTTTAGGAACCAACCCAGGATCAGTGACTGCACTTAGTTTTCACTTTTATGTCTCTTTAGTCTCCATCTATCTATCTATAAGAGTTCCTCTGACTTTATCTTTCATGACTTTATCAATTTAAAGAGTAGAGATTTTCTTTCTATAAGAGGTCCTTTAGGTTTGTTCTATAGTTCCTTATATCTAGACTGGTCAAATATTCTTATAAAGAATACCTCGAAATGATCACTGTGCACTTCTCAATCTGTGATATCGAGGCACATGATGTCAACTTATTTCACTACCCCATCATGTCAGTGTTTGCTCATCAACTATTTGTTTCAGGAAGGACAGATTGGTATTATGAAAGCTGGAATGGAGTGTGATCACTTTACCATGTTCTCAGAATTCCTTTTTCCACTTTAGATGTCCTAATTTAGGGTCATTAGGAATCTTAATCTTTATTTTAAGAATAATGAGGAGACATAAAACATTTTTGTATATGCTGTAAAATAAAGGTTACAGTTGAGTTTTTTGTCTATATTATCTAATTATTTCAGATTTATACATCTTAATTTTACTTTAAGTTTTGTCTAAAGTTTATAGCTTGTATAATTATCACAGTCTGACTTTAAGAATTGTTATATTCATGTACAATGTAGGAACCTTATTACAGTATATTTCAGTGATAGCGAACCTTATGAGCTCGGCGTGTCAGCATTTTGAAAAACCCTAATTTAACTCTGGTGCCAGGTCACATATAGAAATGTTTTGATATTTGCAACCATAGTAAAACAAAGACTTATATTTTTGATATTTACTTTATATATTTAAATGCCGTTTAACAAAGGAAAATCAACCAAAAAAATGAGTTCTTGTGTCACCTCTGACACGCGTGTCATAGGTTCGCCGTCACTGGTATATTTATATTTTCCAGTTATTCCTCCTTTGTGCTATTTTGGCCATACATTTTATACATGTGTGTTAGATTGTAGACTGCTCTTAAAAAACTTATTTCTTTATATATACTTAAACAATCTTTTACATTTGTTTTTATGGTTGAATATTCATAATAAACTTCTATTCCCCAACGTTTGTGCTAATAAAAGTAAACTTCTTTTTTTTCTCAACTAAGATAAGTGCAGTATAGCCAGGCTGGTGTCGCTCAGTGGTTGAGTGTTGACCTATGAACCAGGAGGTCATGGTTCAATTCCTGGTCAGGCACATGCCTTGGTTGCGGGCTCCATTCCCAGTATGGGGTGTGCAGGAGGCAGCCAATCAGTGATTCTCTCTCATCATTGATGTTTCTATCTCTCTATCCCTCTCTCTTCCCTCTCTGAAATAAAAATAGATAATTAAAAATAAGTGCAGTATAGGTTCCAATTAATAAACTTTAGGAATATTTTCCAAATTTTCATATTTGAAAATAATCTTTCATATATGTTGGACCTTTATACTAATATTCATCAAATTTGAATTTTCTGAATTTTTAAGTCTTTGAAATTGAAAAGTATGTTTTGGGGTCTTTGAAATATACATACATACACACACACACACACACACACACACACTAGAGGCCTGGTGCACAAAAATTTGTACACCCAGGGGGGTCCCTCAGCCCGGCCTATGCCCTCTTGCAGTCTGGGACCCCTTGGAGGATGCCCACCTGCTGGCTTAGGCCCGCTCCCTGGGGGATCGGGCCCAAGCTGGCAGTCAGACATCCCTCTGGCAGCCCGGCAGCCCTTGGGGGATGTCCACTTGCCAGCGGAGAGCAGGCCTAAGCTGCAGTCAGACATCCTTAGCACTGCTGAGGAGGCGGAATAGGCTCCCACCATCACCGCTGTACTGGCAGCCCTCAGCCTGGCTTGTGGCTGAATAGAGCTCCTCCTGTGGGAACGCACTCTCCTCCTGTGGGAACGCACTGACTACCAGGGGCTGCTCCTGCATTGAGCGTCTGGCACCTGGTGGTCAGTGTGTATCATAGTGACCAGTCATTCCCAGTTGTTCTGCTGTTAGGGTCAGTTTGCATATTACCCTTTTATTATATAGGATAGAGGCCTGGTGCATGGGGGCGGGGGGCTGGCTGGTTTGCCCTGAAGCGAGTCCCGGATCAGGGTGGGGGTCCCGCTGGGGTGCCTGGCCAGCCTGGGTGAGGGGCTGATGGGTGTTTGCAGGCTGGT